TTAGCACCAGAGGCGGTGACCTCGGCCCTGCAGATGGCCTGTCCTCACCCAGCCTGGGCCGCGGGCCTGGCCTCTGCTGGAGCCCAACAGCAGAAAGGCTGCTGGGGAGAGCAGCACATACTTGGGGGCCTCTAAGTCCGTGGGCTCCGGCTCCGATGTGCGGGGGCCTTGGGATCTCTCTGGTGATCACATCTCTGTTCCTGGGCACAGGCTCCAGCCCCACCAGCAATCTCAGAGACTAATCACCCCAGCAAACCGCTCCTCTCTCAGGGGTACCGAGCAAAACACACATCTGACAACTGCATCGTGGAGCCTTTCCCCTTGTGCTTGTGGTACCACACCTGAGAAAAGCAGGGGCGCGGGGATGCAGCAGGTCTAGTGCACAGACTTTCCCTCCAACAGCAACAGAAGCGGCAGGCGCTGGAGCGTGGGCTTAGCTTGACTCAGGATCCTAGGATGGACCCAAGCTGCCTGACAGGTGAGGACACCCGTAGCCAAGACCCACTTGGCTCTGGTCCATTAGGGGAGAAAGTCACAGGGCTGAGACCCTCCAGATGCTCTTGAGGGCAAAGGTACAGAGGCAAACAGAAAAAAGAACTCTCCAGAAGTGAAGGCCCCTTTCCTGGTAGCCAAGACTGCTAAAGTTCCAAGACCCAAAAGACCCTGAAGGCTAGCCGGTGTGGGGGAATGCAGCTTTGCAGAGGGGTGGGGTGGAGCAGGGCAGAGCTACAGCAGAACTGGCCCAGGCCAACTCCACTCACAGGCCCAGGGATTTCCTCCCCTTCAAGGGAGAAGGTGCTGCCACACCAAAAAGCCTCAGTGCTCTGCCTAGCCCCCAGCAGCTACACCCAGAGCGGAAGTCATACCCTGGCCCGTGGCCAGGTTGGCAAAGGCGTGGGGCCAGAAGGAACTGTCCCAGCGGCCAGGGTCCCAAGCAGCCTGGTGGACAGGGCGTCCCAGCAAGGCTGCCGGCAGATGGCCGCAGTCCAGCACTCCTCCCGCCCGGCTCAAGGTACTCAAGAGCCAGGCATGGAGGCTCACACCTGCAATCTGAGCTAAGATGTCAGAATCAAGGTTTGAAGCCAGCCCAGGCAGAAAAGTCTGGGACGCTATCTCCAACTAATCAGCTAAAAAGCTGGAAAGGAGGCATGGCTCAAGTGGCCAGCAGTGAATAAAACAGCCAAGTGAGAGCAGGAGGCCCTGAGCTCCAATCTTTTTTTTTTTCCTTTAAAGAAGGACCCCGTCCAGCTGTACACCAAACACACACTACCCTCAAACTCAGACGTGGGGTAAAGGACTCAAAGGGCACCCTGCCCTGTCCTCTGGCCTCCATGAGGGGCATTGGCTTCCTCCTGTTAAGAAGCCGGCAGTGCTGAGCACGCGCAGACTGTCCACGGCAAGCCAGCCTGCTGACGGGGGCAGCAGTACAGGACCCAGCCCTTCCCAGGAAGGTGCGATTGTCTGGGGAACAATCACGGAACGTAAACACTACCTGGTTAAGGGCCAAAGCACTACTCTCCATAAAGAAACAAGGAAGGGCTAGAGAGGAAGAAGATGGGGGTTCAGGAGAGGAGATAGGACCCAAGTGACAGAAAGGGAGGCAGGGCTTTTCCTGTCCACCATGAGATGAGGAAGGCACCCCACTTCGCAAACAGGGAAGCCAAGGCAGGAAGCAGCCATCCCAGGGCTGTCACAGCCTGCCAGGGGGCATAGAGAGGGACTGAACGTCCTTGAGAGGCAGGTGGCAGGGAGAGTGCTCCCCAGCTCTGCTGTGGAAACAGGACAAAGGAAAGCCTTGGTCCGGAGGCTGACCTAGGGTCTGGGAAGGAAAGGCCAGCGTGAGCCATGGCCAAGGAGAAGCACCAGAGGCCAGGGCCTGAGGCTGAGGCCATCCGAGGCATCTCAGCATCCAGGCTGTGTGTGTTCTCAGCACCCAGCCCCAGGTGGCCAGGCACACCCAACCCCGGCACTACACAGCACTGGCGACTCTCTACCACACTCCTGTGAGCCCTCACACCAAGCACGGCCAGCCCCTGGTCACCCACATCCCCACACTGAGCTTCCTCCAGGCCCTACCCCTGGGCCTGGGAGGGCCGTGGGCCTCAGGCACAACTGGCTACAAGTTCAGCATCATTTCTTTTCTTTTTTTTGTCAGTTGTGGGGCCTGAACTCTGGGCCTGGGCACTGTCCCTCAGCTCTTCAGCTCAAGGCAAGCGCTCTACCACTGAGCCAGCCCTAGTTCAGCATTCATTTCTGAGCACCCCAGCTTCAGGCTGTGATCCAGCAGGATGGAGACAGATGGAAGGGCGTAAACACACACCGGTCTTCCACATCTGCTCAGACACCGAACATCCCAGAGCTCAGCAGCTGTGGCTTTGCAACCCCAGCTGGCACAGCTGGTCAGGCTGCCGGGGAGACAGGCGTCTCTGGTTTGGGATCACCCACATTTACCGTGGAGGAATACCCACGAGCCACTAGGTGAGCCCTGCCGCTGCACTGTCAGCTCTGTGGCCCAGTGCTCTGCACCTGGCACCTGCAGCAGCCTTACCGGCAAGCTGAGCTGCTGCCCACATGTGCAGGTGAGGGAAGTAAAGGGCTCTACCAGGCCCAAGACCACAGAGCACAGAGAGGCTGAAGCTACACCCCACAGCCCTCAAGTCCCTTCCACACTCAGTCTCGCCAGGAACCAGGTCTGCTGAGACACTAGAGGTAGCCAGAGAGGCCCAGGAGGAGAGCACACAGGTGGCCCGGGGCAGGTTCTGTATGTCAGGACCACAAAGCCCCACATGCCACGGAAAGACTAGAGGAGTCACAGCACTACACACCCAGCATGCAAATCCCATTCCTTGGGCTGTTGCCCACCTGGGATCTAGGAAAGAGAGGAGGATAGGCAGAAAACTGGGGTGTGTGGTAAGGGCTCCCCTAAAATGGTGGGCTTTAGAATGATGTGCAAGGGCAGAATGAAAAGGAAGCAGAATGGAGATGCCAAGTGCTCAGCCTCCGCCTCCACCTGGCTGGGCCTCAGCAAGCCCGTGTGGGTGCCAGCAATGGATCTCAGCCTCAGGTGGCAGAAGAAAGGCCTGACTCTGAGGGAGAGCTGTTCACCTGTGAGAAGGAAGACCTTGATGCCCCAAAGCCTAACAATGCCCTGACACATGGGAGGAAGGCGTTGACACTTAAGAACAAGAGTGAACCTTGGGAACAGTACTAAAGCCAGATATGAAAGGCCACAGTCAACATCCACAACAGAGACATGGACAGACAGAAGGCAGGTAGGTGGTGGCTGGGATAGTAAGCTGGAGGGGAGCAGGCAGAGAGGTTACTAAAAGTGGTCCAAGATTGACTGGAATGATGGATGCACATGTCCAGGAATACACTGGAAACTCCCAGACTGTATGCTGTATACGCTGACGGCACCTTTGGAGGAGAAGGGCGGCAGGCCTGGCTCCTGCTGGGGGCTGGTGCACCGTCACCAGCCTGCCACACCAGGCCCGAAGGTCCCCCCAGAGAAGGGCTGTCCTGCCTGGCTTAGTTGCTCAGGGAGGTTGACCAGAGTCCTGTCTGTGCTGACCGATCAGGGCCTGTACTGTGGAGATCACTGCCCTCCTGCACAGTCAAGGGCCAAGCCACCAGAGGTCAGAGAAAGAAGAAAAATGGACACACAACTCTGTGTGAGTGTGTATGTGTGTGTGTGTGTACTCTTCAACCCTCACTGGGGAAGCTGTTGAAGAACAACTCAAGATGGCTCAAGGAAGCCCAGCCGTGCCTGCCTTGGGCTGCACATGGCTGCAGAGGTGGACATAGCTCATGGCAGCCACTAAAACTGAGCAAAACACAGCCAGGGGCTGGTGGCTCATGCCTGTAATCCCATCTACTCCGGAGACCGAGATCTGAGGATGGCAGTTCAAACTGAGTCCAGGGAAGGAAAGTCCATGAGATTCTCATTTCCAATGAACCATCAAAAGGCTGGAAGTGGAGCTGTGGCCCAAGTGGTAGAGTGATAGACTTGAGTGAAAGAGATCAGGGACAATGCCTGACCCTGAGTTCAAGCCCCAGGTCAGTCGGTCGGTCTGTCTGTCTCTCACTTTCTGTCTCTGTCTCTCTCTCTCACACACACACACACACAACTGAAGACAGATCTAGACCCAGAAAATATATCTGATGTAATAAAGGCAAGGCAAGAGCCATTCTGTCCATCTTGCAAAAAGCACAAGAGCTACAGGGTAGCAACGGGGTCAGTCACAGGACCTCTGGGCTCCCCTCCACTCCTGTTCTATTGTTTTCATCTACCCAGGCAGCCCGGCTGACCAGGTGACCCCACAGGCCTGCAGGCTTCTCAGGGCTGGCTCACCCAGACCACCAGCTTCAGTGTGGTCAAGGAAGGAAAACGGATCCCACCACCAGCACTACAGACACCACAGGACACACACACACATGCACGCACATATATACATGCACATACACACTCATACACAGGTGGATGGGGCTACCGGGCAAGGGACTAACCCCAGAACCACACCCATGCACCCTAGGGTGCTTCAGGAGCTCCTGCTCATCGGCTGGGGCTTTCAGGTACCTCTCTCCAAGCTGGCTTCCCTGCCCTCTTTCCCATTCTTTTACCAGCCTTCTTAGGCCCTCAGGAACAGGCCAGGGCTTTCTGGGCCTGCTCTGTTTCAGGAAGTGAGCCCAGGGTTGTGGCATCACTAGGCCACAACATCCTCGACCGGAGCCTGCTCTGCACCTGGCACCTGCAGTGCTGGCAGGACAGGGGGAGCAGCACTAACGAGCTGCCCCGGGAGCCGCCACAGATGCCGTTGACCGGCCAGCCTGGGGCAGGCGATCACAGTTGATTAGTTTAACGGTCTGGGGTCTGGCTCCTGGGCAGGAGTTGAGAGGCACAAGGGAGAACTTAATTTGAGTTTCTGCTTCTGCAGCCAAGAACCATCCAGAAACCTCTGAGAGCAGGGTGGGAGGGCCCGTGCTGAGTGTGGGGGCCTTACCTGCAGCTCCTTGTCCGAGTACTTCTGTGGATTCTTGCTGCCCTGGCTCTTCTTCCGGAGCTTCTTCAGCTCGGCCTGACACTTGTCCAGAGCGTCGCCCTTGCTCCGCTGTTCCGTCTGGTATTTCTTCAGTGCTGCCTAAGAGCCCACAACAAAACCCGGAGGCCTGTGAGCCTCGGTGCTGCTCCCAAGCTGCTCAGACTGCAGCTAGCAGGGACAGGAAGAGGAGGGGGCCCCACAGTGGGCCTCAGCAATACCCATCAGAAGCAGGTCACACGCCTTAAAGACAGAAATCGAACCTGTTCCTGACACTGAGGTACAGGACATACGGCCAGGGGCCTCGGCCCTGCTCCTTCCACCAGCTGAGGCACAAGTGGACTCAGGAGTACCATGCCATCCTCTTGCTAACGGTTGGCCAGGGTTAGGGGCACACACAGGAAGCGCTCTGGCAGAGCCCCCGTGGATAAGAACCCAGCCTGGGGAGGCGTGTGGAAGCACAGGCCTGCAGAGGTGGCCCACAGGTACTTACGCTCAGGTACCTGGAGTCCAGCTCCACCTTCTGCTCCAGCTGTGTGAGGAGCTCGTTGTGAAAAGACTTCAGCTGGACACAGAGAGAGAATAGACCGGCAGTCAGCTGTAAGGCAGTGCACGGCTGGGGCAGCCTGAATGCCAGCACCGCCTGACCTGTGAGCAGAGGACCCTGGGTGGCCAGCAGTGCTTCCCTGACAGGGGTATACAGAGGAAATCTGGGACCTGACTAGGCCTATCATAGGGTGCATGTGACTCTTCCTCAGGAGAGGGCTCCCTGGCCTCACCTGGTCCCAGCCTAGTCTGATACCCTGGCCCAGCCCAAACCCCCCGCCCCAAGGCTCCTCCTGTACCCTGGGACCTTGAGAGTTACCTCCTGGGCTGCTCAGGATGACTTATGTGACCTGTGTCCCAAGCCTAGGCAGCACACCTCTGCCTGAGGGTGATGACAAGACCCTGAGCGGGCATCAGAGGACCTGTGGCCAAAGCACGTAGCCAGCCTGATTATCCCCAGCTACTGTGCTCACCTTGTTGGTCCCTTGCACGCAAGGAAGGGGCGTCCGACTTACCATCTCTTCCAGCTGGTTCTGGATCTGCCGGTGCACTTCAGCCATCTGGAAGAGGACGTCTCCTGGACACAGCAGGAAGAAATGAAGTTAGAAACCCTACGCATCACAGCCCGGGTCCCCACCCTGGGGCTGGGCCTGACATCATAGGCCAGCCTAGGGGCTGTGGTCCATCTGCCCAGACCCCTACCTGCTACCTAGAGACCAGCAGTTCTTGTATGCACACACTCCAGCCCAGGCACAGGAGAGAGCATGAGCATGTGTCCACACACAGAGCTCACGGTCAGTCACATACACACCAACGCCCACCTGCCTCACACAGGGCCCAGCCCCGGTGCACAGCCTGTGCACAGCAGACAAGGCTCACCGGGGTGCGGCAGGGCATGTTCGCTGCAGACTGTGACCATCTGAGGCCCAGCCTGTGGGAACAGGGTGAGGCTGCATGGCACCTCTGAGCCTGGCTCACTCCTCGACTCCAAGCTGTCAGTAGCCAAGGCCCACCTGCCCAGAGGGACCGCTTTTTTACCCAGTTCTGCCTCTCTGAAAACCACGGCAGAGCTGAGGGATGCTGAGACCGCCCTGCAGGAAGGCAGGAGGCCGCGGCCCTGGCTGCGGGGCTCCCTGGGTGAAGCTTCCCCAGCACACAACACGACAGGATGGAGGGAATGCCCTGGCCCACCTGCAGAAGGAAGGCAGCTCACAAATGAAGGGAGCCAGAGGGAAGTATGAGGCAGGGGACACACTTCCTCCTCCACTGGACAGTGTCTAGGTCAGCAGAGCCCAACTCTTGCCTCCAAATCGACACTGGGGGCAGGCATGGCACCTGTCCCGAGACCCTCAAGGCTGTCTGCCCCCGTGAGGCACATGTGCGGGGGGGGGGGGTGAACTTCACTGGCCAGGTGAAGGACTGCAGCTCAAGGGGAGAGAACCTGGTGATCCTGACTTGCCTGATTGGCAGACACTGTGTTGACTCTGCTGTGGACAGACCCAGAGGCTTAGCTCGGCCTGTCAAGCCCTGTCCCTAAGTCTCGCTTGAGGCAGTACTCTTCTCTCCAGGGTTCTCTGAGGCCCCAAGTGGCAGAATAGCCACTGAGGAGACCCGTGGGGCCCACCAAGGCCCAGCCAAAAATCACAAGCCCTCTGACAAACTCCACAGGAAGCCTAACCAGATGACGTGTCCCCCAAATGACAGCTGGACCCTGATGTCACTTCTCTCCCAGGAAGCCAGCTGGGCTCTGGACAGGCCAGCTTCCACAGAGCCCTCTCATAGTTCTGTGAGCTGCCAGGCTGTTTTAACCTAAGGACCACGGAAGCCGAGGACGTACATTTATAGACAAGTCTCCTTTATCAGGTTTACTAGAGAAACCCCACCAGCATCCTGGCTTCCCAGTAAGCAAGGCAGAACAGCTGAACACGAGCGACCAGAGCCAGGACTCACCGGTCCACCCATACCCTCCCCGCAGGGTCACTATGACAGACACCTTACACTGTGCACAGACCACCTGTCAACCGGGTAACACCTACCAAGTGCCACGGCACGCGGGCACCTCCACGGAAAAGTGAGCACAGGCTCCTGCCTGCTGCTGGGTGTTACGGCCGCCCAGCGACAGGGACCGGAGTGCTTGCAGGCCTGACCACTGCCACGCGACCAGCAGCAACTGCCCCCCCCCCGTAGGAACCAGACAGCAGTCACCCCCTGTGGTGGCCTCCAATGGCTGATATGAAGCTGTGACCACAATCGATTGGAATTCATGTGCAGAGGAAGGGAGAGTCTTTCACTGCCGAGGACACAAGTCCCACTCCTACCTCTCCTTCTGGGAAGGAGGCGGGGCCAACGGGGCAGAAGGAGGAGGGCAGCACCGAGACAAGCATTCTTATTGGTCGTGGGGCTTGAACTCAGGGCCTGGGCTCTGTTCCTGAGCTCTTTTTTCTAACGCTTTACCACTTCCTGCCACAGTGCCACTTCTGGTTTTCTGGTTAATTGGAGAGAAGGGTCTCATGGGAGACCCTCCTTCCAGGCTGCCTTCAAACCATGACCCTCAGATCTCAGCCTCCTGAGTAGCTAGCCACCCACACCCAGCGAGACAAGCATTCTGAGCTGAGGTGGGTAGGGTAGCACAAGTCCACATGCACAGACCTCATGGAAAGAGGCCTGGGCGGCAACCAGGACACATACACACAGACACACACCACCCTCTGACTGGCACACCATGACCATGGGAGGGCCTGTGGCACACAGGAAACCCAAAGCCTATCCAACACTCATGTCACAGGTGCGCTGCCGAGAACCCTGTGTCCTTTGCTTTTCGGCATGAGTGAGCACTCAGTTGATCAGCCACTGCGGTGAAGACCGGAAAGCCCACCAAACACACCAGAGCCTTGCTCGGGTTTTGGTTATCGTGTTTCTATGGTGTGTGTGTGTCTTGGATTTACCTCCTGCTCTCAGGACCCAGAAGATACTTGGGGCTGGCCTTAGTCCGGGTACCTGGCTAGGGGAGTCCACCCAACTATTTGGCCTCATTGGTGCTGCCGTCACTCTTGGAACACAGGGCCCGGCCCCCAAGGCTGCTCGCCCTTGAGAGGGGTGAAGTCCATGAACAAGGGGGACAGTGCAGGCAGCAGCAACCTTGACCAACCACCCGCCCTGGAAGTCTCCATGCTGGAGCTCCCTCGGCTCTTCACACAGCATGTACGTGGGCACGCATATACTCTGCAGACACTGGGGCTCACACTCAGGCTCTGGGCAATGTCCTGTAGCCACTCAAAGCTGTCACTCTACCACTTGAGCCACAGCTCCACTTGTGGCTTTTTCTGTGTGTGTGGTGCTGAGGAATGGAACCCAGGGCCTGGTGCTACCAGGTGAGCACTCTCCCGCGGAGCTGCCTGCCCAGCCCAGAATGCGTTAACCATTCTTTAGGCCTCAGAATTAAGTTAGCAGCCAGGTCAAGTGGGAAACACACATTGCCTGGCACAGGTACACACAGTGAACAGCATGAAGAAACAATCACCAAGCAGCGAATACGGAACAGGAACTGGCCGTGCCCAGTGGGTGTGAGGCTTCTACAGGGTTCTGAGCAGGCAAAGGCCAGCACCACTCCGCCAAGGCTGTGCTGCACTGTCCCAGAACCCTGCATCCCCACCGGCTGAAACCCTCCGTCTCAGAGCCCTAAGCAAACGGTGGGTGTATTTGGGGACGCCCAGGCAGAGCTGCAAAGCGCCGGGTATGCACACGGCCCTGAGCTGGCTGCACGCCGGGGCTGTGCAAAGCCAACCCACACAGTGAATTTTTAAACTGCCTGTTACAAGCAGCTGCAGGAGGCCACGTGCACATGGAGTGTGTGTGCACAGTCTCACCAGCACTTAACCCCTGAGGTGCTGCAGGTGTGCCACACCGGCTAGAGGCACTGGCCAGGGGTGGTGACTTCTTCCAGACAAGCAGCTGCAAGTCTGACTCGCTGCTTCCTGTGCCCTTCACGGTCCTGGGAGGTGGGATGGCGAGGGGCTCCAGGGCAGAGCAGGCCTCGGTCCGGGGAGACGCGAGGCAGAGCCCCCTGGTAGGTTCCAAGACCCCCTCTCCAGGTGGGCAGTCCTTCCCAGGCCACTGCAGGGGACTGTGAACTCTCTCCCCACCCTCTTCTTGAGGCGGACTGCCAATCCGTTGGGGACCTGGTACCACTGCACAGGTGGGCCCTAAACTTGAAAAACTGGGTTCAAAGTGGGAGGTGTGGCCCAGGCATGCCAAAGCAAACAGTGAGCAAGCCAGGGTAAACCATGGTGGAGAGCAGCCTCTGAGGGACTGCCAGGGCACACAGCCAACAGAGGAGCAGCAACAGGCGGTTCAGCCAGGGGGCTGGCCCAGGAAGGGGGGGTGGGCAGGAGCCCCTGGCACACCCAGGATGATGAGTCAGCCTCAGTCCTGCCCGCCAGGGCTGTGAAGGGGGGAGGGGGGCTGGGCGGAGTGCTGGAGGAGGGCTTCAATCTCCCCCTCCCCCGGGATTGTCTGCAAGTGTGGGAAGCAGGAGAGCCCCCAGTGGGCACGTGTTTGTCACAGGCAACATGTGTCATTTGGGATGAAAGTGTAATAAGCACACATAGCACCAGAGAACAAGACCACGCCCTCCTCTCAGCCCTCCACCGAGTGAGGCACGAGGTCGCTGCTGGTGAGCCACCTCCCCTCCCCCTCGCCCACTTCTGCCTTAAAGATTTCTGCTTACTGCTGGGTGCCAGTGGCTCACGCCTGTCATCCTAGCCTCTCAGGAGGCTGAGATCTGAGGATCAAGGTTTGAAGCCAGCCCGGGTGGGAAAGCCCATGAGATTCTTATCTCCAATGAACCACCAAAAAGCTAGAAGTGGAGCTGTGTGGCTCAAGCAGTAGAAGGACAGCTTTGAGTGAAAATTCAGCTCAGGGACAGCACCCAGACCCTAAGTTCAAGCCCCAGGACTGGCACAAAACAATAAAAATAAAAAAAAAAACGGTTTCTGGTTACTACTGTAGCCCTGAACCCAGCCTCAGTCTGAGGTGAGTAGATTTGGTCCTGGAGGCAAAGTCCCTCTCCCAGGGGCAGGCGGACAGGGCAGGGCAGTGAAGCCATCACACACGCCATCACACATGCTCACCCTCCCCCGCTCCACCGCGTTTCATTACAGACAGCAGCACGGTGCTAGGCCCACTGGAGTAGACAGCATGCAGGGCAGGAGTGGCTGACCCTCACCGGACAAGAATGCTCCCCATGGTCCGCATTCCTCACAGCTGGCTCACTGACAGCCCTGCGTCCTGAGGACCAGCCCTCCCCTCCCCCAAGCTATGGAGAGGGGAGAGGTGCCTTACTGCCCAGGCTGGGGCACAGGGCTGGAGCCCACAAGTTCCTGGTCACCCTGCATGGCACCTAGATTTAAGAAGCTCCCTTGCAGCTGGGCACGGGTGGCTCATGCCTATTCTAGCTACTCAGAAGATTGAGATTCAGAGGATCACAGTTCAAAGCCAGACCGGACAGAAAATCTGAGAGACTCTTAACTCCAGCAAAAAGTTGAGGTGGAATTATTGTTCAGCCTCAACTGAGCAAAC